GATTTTGCTTGTCTAATTTTTATGCAAATAAGAATTTCCTAGTTTTTATTTATCATTGGGAATATTCTTAAACATAACAAAAATTATTAAACAAACAACATTTTTGTGTCATTCTTGTTGCTAAGTAGGGCCATATTTTATGGAAAGATTGATGGGTAATTTTTTTTAACATGTTAAAAAGCTGATTTGACCTAAATTGTCAAAGTTAATTCACTTAATTGTTGTTGCATATTGATTGTAATTCTTTATAAATTGAAGTTTTAACTAAACTATCTTTGTTATGGTTGTCATGGTTAAAGCATGAAGGTGGTAAATAATATAGTAGTGGAAGAAAATGAGAGCAACATAGAAAAAGGCACATTACATATAGTTTTAATACAAAATGTAGCACCTTTCCAAAGTAATAGCTTGAAATTATTTTGAATCAGATAATATTTTTATGTAATATTTAAATTCACTAATAATAACTTAAGAGTAACTCATTACAATTTCAATAAACAAAAATGCAAACAAATTCATCTTCAAAAGAGGTACAGTGACAAAATATCCTCAAATTGTATCTCTCGACATTTGTTAAAAATGCTTCCCATCTTCAACACCCAACTACAGGAGATGTTTTTTTTAGAAAAATCTGCACATGTAGTTATAAAAATAATAAGGTAAGTAATATATTACTAATGATTAATATAATATAAAATGATTATCATTTCATTACTCACGCTGTTTAGTGATTAAGATCAATCCTTTTGTCTCCAGTAGACAATGCCCAATGTTCTTGTTGCTCCTATTATAACAAAATCTCAAATCAATAAAGGAATTAGCAATCATATGAACAAATCAATTAAACAAAATCAAAGTGAGTAAATATAGAGTAATCAATTTTTCACAAGTACCATTTCACTAGTCATATTTAGGTTTGGTAGATTTCTATGACCTTGTCTCACGACTTGTTTTTCTCCATGCACCTGTAACTTTTATGTAATACATATAAATCAATCAATGTTGTAAAACCCGAGCCGGACGTCAAGCCAGAATATCTTACGTATTAGGTTTAATTGGTTTAAACAGTTAAGCCGTCCGGTCAGACCGGATGATTTTAAATATAATTAATAATTTTTATCTATAAATATATAATTATATATAAACATAAAACTTTATATAATTAATAATTTTATATAACTATATTGAAGTAACATCTCTCTATCTTTTATGGACCGAAATAAAACAAAACATTAGAGTAATGTTCCATTTTTTAAAATTTTAAGTGAACCGTCCGGTTTTTCCCAAGGTTATTCCGGTTTAACCGGGTTTAGCATGGTCGAACCGGAATTTCTCCTGTTCAAAGTGGTCCAACTACTCATTCGGTTAAGACTATAATACGGGGCCATTTTCAAGTCCGATCAGCGATCGAACCGGTCGGACCGTCCGGTCCGGTCCAGTTATCACAACACTGATATAAATTGTTGTGTATTATAATAAAAAAATGAAAGAAATAATTATTTATTTGTCTTTATTATTATTTTCAACTTTAGATTCCTTTCTCTTGGATGGTGGACGACCTTTGCAACGCACTTGTAAGGGAGGTAGTAATTTTTCACTTGATTAAGTTGCATGGTCAATGCTTGGGAGAGTGGTGGTCTTCTTATGAACAAATATCACTTGTCCCCAAACTTGTCCTAAGCCAATCACATTTCAGCAGATTAGATAAATATGTTATTTTTATTTTCTTTTTATTTATATGACAAATTCTAATTGGAAGGACAGGGAATTGGGACAGGCTTTGGGACAGTAGATCCTCATTCGTCTTCTTACTACTATCCAAATCTATGTCCATGAGCCTTTCCTTTGCTTTATATCTATCAATTCCATCAAAAAAATCATATTTTCCTTTTGAATTGGCCATATGCCAATATGCGCGACCTAGTAAAAGTTAGCACACAACTTATCAAAGTGTATGAGTTGCTCATCAATATCCAAATCATCATAACAATTCAACACATAGTAGTGACTATGCTTGATATCCTTTCTCCACCGAGTTAGAATGTAGTGAGCAGGAATCTCTTTCACATTCATTTCAATTAAAATCTTTGATATATGCCTATAAATTATTCCTTTGAATTCAAATAAATAACAAGAGCATCTAATATCAATATTTGTGTCATTATATTGCAAAAACGATGATGACATTCGGGAAATACTTCTGCCACTCCAACTTGGATAGATCGACACTGATTTGTAATTATTGCTTTTGGAGCTCGACCCCGCATGCATTCCAGCCATACATATGCCTCTTTGTCCTCCCTTAATAGTAAGTCACAGACAAAGATCACTTGTCCCACTCCCTGTCTCATTTCTATCCCGGGCCAATCACAATACTGATTTTTGTTACTTTTTACTTTTAAATTTCATATTTTAATCATATGGCAGCATTGTGATTGGTTCGGGATATGGTTTAGACAGGGATGGGGACAGCTGATCTGCAGCAGTAAGCCACAACAAAAGAGAAAACGGCATATTATACCTATTAGTCAAATAAGTACTATCAAATGACACAACATCTCCAAATGAATCATAAGCTGCCCTAGACCTTGCATCTGCCCAAAAAACATTTCGTAAACGACCATCATCATTCAATTAGATCACATAGAAAAACTTTGAATTTCTTCATTGCATACGAGTGAAGTAGTTACGAAGTGCTTCAGCATCCCCTACTCCAAGTCTTAATTGTCTCAACTTTGCAATGTAATTTCGACAATCTTTCTCACCAAATTGTAGGTTCTCATACCCTTTAGCTTCAACTACCAATGAATGGAAAAAAAAAATTAATGGAATTCCTGCACAATCATTCAATTCAAGTTTTCTTTTTGAATAAGAATCCATTTTCTTATGAGACCTTTGATATCTAGACTTTGTTGGACTTAAAGCATGATTATGATATAGATGAACAGAAGAAATAGTACACTTTCCACTACTATGAACAATCACAGAAATTTTTGCTTGGAACTCTGTTTTGGTGGACAATCTTACCTTAGAAGAATTTGCCTTACATACATATTTACTTCCTCTTGAACATGCAAGTGTGTAATATTTCACTTCACCCTTTGTTTTTGTGCTAATTTTACGAACCCCAAATCCAAATTCATAGGCATAATTGTTGTAAAAAGTGTGAAGTTTCTCTTCAGAATCTAATATCATATCCCCACACATGGTATTTGCTCACTGACCCAACTTCAAACTTTTCATTTTCTTCCATGACTATATTATTTACCACCTCCATACCTAAACCATGACAACCATAACAAGGTAGTTTAGTTAAAACTTAAATTTATTAAGAATTAATGCTAACAAATTTCAATATATATAATAAATAAATAAATAAAGAATGAATATGTGCAACAAAAGTAATAAACCATCAAAATATATAAAAAAGTAAGAAAAATAAATGACACTTTTTTAGAATGGAAAAGCAATGTGAAAGTAAAATTTTGATAAGTGAATGAAAAGAATACTTGCAGTCTAACGTTTGCATTTAATAGAAAGAAAGGGCAGTGTATTGAAAGTTTGAAAAAAAAAACTCAAAGGTTATACTCCATTAATGCATTAAATAGATGGAAAATGATATATCCTCCTACTAAATCCTCATAATAATTCTCCTACCCACAAGAAAGTGACAATGTCACTTGTAACCCAATTACTAATAAATAAAGTATCACTTTGTGACATATGTCACTTTTTTGTGGGTAAGAGAATTAGTAAGATGATAAAGTATCACTTTGTGCCATGTGGAATGCAAAAGCTTCTTTCGGAGGATGTTTCGTAAGTTTCATTCCAAGGAAATAGCACTTCTCTTTTTTATCACACCCATAAGTATTAAACTCTTTAATAACTTGAAGACGATGGCCATTGATTAGTGATTCAATTATTGAATGGATTTATAATTAAAAAAATTATTTTATCAAATAATTAAAAAAATGAGAAGAATAATTAAAGCCCTTCCTAAAGGGATTGGAGACAAAAATTAAGGAAATTGTGCTCCATAACACATGCATGGGAGACTAAATAACAAGATATCACTGCTAACCATATTCAACATGAACCCTTTAGCAATAACTCCAAGTGACCGCACAAGTGATGAGTAAGAAATATGGATACTCGATTGTTTGATGGCCTTAAAGCTTTGAGAGAAGCAATAAGGGTTTGTAAACATAACTTGACTCATTATTTAATAACTTTTCAACCATGGGCAAAGGAAAGGGAATATAAAACATCATTATCAAATCTCGTGACTCTCCTAATTTGTTAAGGGGTTTCCATCAACATAATCTATTGTTAATTCGAAGTCTAGCAACTTTGCATCCTTCAACTCTTCCACCTTATATTTGAGATCACAATATTTTTCTATTTAATGTCATGATATGCCATAATGATAATCACAACAAGTAGCTTCATCATATCATTTAGGATACCATGGCTCAAAAATCTTTCCTTCCATTGGAGTGGGCTCTGAAGCACAGACACGTGAAACTCTTTCACGTATCGGTGTCGGACACGTATCCGACACGGATATACTCCAATTCGCCATGGATACGTATCCGTAGAGTGTCCAAAATAAAAAATAAAAATAATATTAAGATAAGTATTTGAAACGTTTTGAACAAAAAAAGTAGGATATATATGATACGTATCTGAAATATTTTCAACAAAAAAACTAGAATATATATGATACATTTTAATCAAAGCATCCCAATAGTCAAGGTAAATACCAACTTATTTATAGACAAACACTAATGAAGGCAAACACTAATGGAGAACAATGATTTGCAATTTTTATTATACTTTCTACTTTGGATATTTTGATTTACACTTATAATTTTATCATATTTTATATATATTTTTACTATTTTATACACGTATCATTGAACATATCGTATCCTATATTTTAGAAAAAATACGTATCGGCGTATCGGATACGTATCATATCCGACACACGTATTCGTATCTATGCTTCATATGGAGTGGGTAAAAAGCTCAACATAAATCATTGGAATGAGGTCAAAGTGTGTATTTCTTCTGGCTTGATTATGATGATTCTAGGTTTGGCTTTGATCGGAAGGATGGATTTGCCGGGCATGTTGGGTTAGTCATGTAAAGTATGTTTGGTTTGTGATTGGGCGATGTTGGTGGGTTGTGTTTGATGGTTGTTTAATGGTGGTTCTTGATATTGGTGGGTATTATTAGCTAAATAGGCATGGTGTAAAGGTAAGGAGGGGTTATTATTGTATTGGAAGTGATGTGGGACTCGGTATCCGTAGCTCGGGCCACAAATCCTCTTGGTTCGTTGGTCACTACATGGATTTATCCCTCTTCCTTCTTCATAAAATTGGGTTTCTTGCTAGTGTTGTGCTTGACCCATTCTGCTCCCCACAATTTTCCCACTTCTCAAGTGCCTTTGGATATGGCTCCTTTAGCTTATCCATAAAAATAGAAAGTTGTTCTTCTTCCTCCAGCCTCGGAAAAATTTGGGATGCTATGCCCTTCGAAAGTTGGTTATACTATTTGAAGCTCTCTTCCGGACTCTTGGACATGGTTTGTAGTTTTGATCAGAGCTTACTCTAGATGTATGTACCAACTCATAGCTGCCCCCACCGGCCTTTCCTTGAAGTAGTGTCCTCAGAGCATGTCATTATTATGATTAGGGGTGAAAACTGGTCAGGTTAGGCTAAACTTTGCCTTAAATAGGTTGAACCTATATAGCATATAGGAGCATGGGTCTGACATGTTAGCCTGTTTAAAAAAAATTCAAAGCCTAGGTCTGACTTGTTTAAAAGTCTGGTCTGACCTGTTAGCCTGTTTAAAGGTCTGTTAAGGTAAAAAATTTACACATTATGTACAAACTAGAAAAAATTATTATAACTTTAGAAATTAGTGTGAAATTTTTTACATTGTTATCACAATTATTTCCATCATCTTCCTATGTTGAGTAATTTATTCGAAGGATTTGTGATGCCTTTGTGGTTAGAATATACAAAACAATGTCTTTTAATATCATAGTAAAATATGATATTGTTCTAATATTTAACAAGAGTTGAGTTATGTATTTAAGCTCAAGTCTCAACAATTAAATATCCAATTATTAAATAGTTTAATCTCTAAGTCCTAATGGATTTACATAAAAAATTATTATTTAGTTTTTTGTACATGTTATAAAAATAATTTATAAATATATAATAACATTATATAGGTTAGTCTGTTAAACTTAATAAGCTTTTTAAAAGGTATGGGTCTGGCCTATTTCAATTAAATAGGCTTTTGGAAAAACCCAAGTCTAATCTGTTTACTAAAAAGGTCTGGTCCGGCTTATACTTTTCAAGCTGAGGGATTTTGAACTTTGGTGGTAGAATCATGTCTATCATGAGACACATCTCAAATGTGTTTTTCATATATGGAAAGTTCCCTCCATCTATAGCTTTCAGTCTCTCCTTTATCATTTCCAGTTCCCCTTTATCTTGATCTTGCCAGTAGTTTTGGTACTAAGGATCCTGAGAAGCATCTCTGTTGTACATTGGGTTGCTAGGTATGGTTTTGATATACTTTCTACTCCCTATATTCTTTGGCTGGAGACCATGGGCAGGGTATTCATCTTGAATAGGGATCATTTTTTCCAAAAAATCTTTATGCTCATGTTCCAATCTAATCATATTATACCAAGTAATATAAAAAATATTACTTTCTGTTTTTTTAATTTTATTTTTAATTATGTGTCAAATTTTAATTGGAATAAGACACCAAAAAATGGAACAGATGATCTTCATTCCTTTGTCTTAGCCAGTAAGATTCACATGAAGCACATACTGCTCTTCACTACAGCTTCACTAGATTAACTAGCCTAGACGGCAAATTTACATACATGATGCACTTTGACCGTAAAATTACAGTTTTGGTGCACCTTTTATAATATTTACCATTTTTGTGTAAATATTAGAAACTCTACAATAGAATAGGAGTTTTACTTCTTTTTTTTGTGTTTCTCTCACATAAATCGCATATCAGGTAGGAGTTTTTATTTTTATTTTTCTCACACCAAAAACTCCTCTAACAAATGAGTTTTTCATTCTACTTCTCTCACATAAAACTCCTCCAGCAAAGGAGTTTTTCATTCATTTTTTAATTAATTCTTAAATTTGCATTTTACCATATAAAATCCATCATAACATGAGTGAAATTAAATCATAATTACCAACAAGGAAACATTAAACATTTATTCTCTAAAATACTAATATCAATAAAAATTATAAAATATTTAATTTTGTAATTTATTAAATTCAAAAATTCTAAAGAGTTCAACCGCAAAAAATAAGAAAACCATATATATATATAATATTATATGTAAAGAAAAATCTGACTTTCAAAGTGATTTGTATGAGGATATGAATTTTAATATATATATTATATCAATATACTAATATATTTAATATGTATATCTTTATATATTATATAATGATAAATATTTAATATGTATATAATAGTTATAAAATATGTATATCTTTATTTATATATATATATATATATATATTATACATATGAATTTAAAATTCTATAAACATTTATATGTTTATATATAATTGAGTCAATTCTTAAAATGAAAAAAAATTGTATTTAAATTAAATTAGATTTTATTTATTTAAATATGTTATTTTTTATTCAAGTTTAATTCATTTAATTATTGAATAAGTATATCAGTTAACTAATGAGTCAAATTAAACCAATGTGGTGTTGGTTTGTTTTATTAAAGCTCAAGTTGTTAGGTAGAAATGTAAGAAATTTTGGGTCACATGTAATGTTTAGGTGTGTTTAGGATCATTATTTTAAGTAGTCAAATTAAAGTGATTTACTTCAAATAAGGTTCATGACTATAGACATAATTATCATAAAAATTATTGTGTAGATACATAAAGTCTTATTTCTATTCTATGATGGGCAAAATCGGAAATAAGAAAATCAAGTGACATCACCCTTCATGAAAGAGTATGCACTTCTTATAAATAGGGGTTATGGTCCCCAATTGTAGAACACACCATGACCATAAGAAGAACCACAAAATCATTATTCTCTCCATCCCATTAGATGAGAACTAAGGATAAGGGTGGTCTACAATTGGAAGACCAACAAACCTACATGTTCTACTATGAACATGCATCTGGTGAATACAAGACAAAGGACGTGGAGAAATGGATACATGACGAAAGAAAGATATAAAGTTTGTTCTCCATATTCTATATGAATATACTAAGGTACGCTTCCGCTAAAGTTCTAGTTTCTATATACATTTATTTTTGATGATATAACATGAGTTATCTTGGCTATGTATTATGCATCTTTAGTATAAATAAAAGTCTCCCGCCATATCATAAAGTCTATTGGAAATTTAATTTATCCTACAAGTGGTATCAGAGCCACTTTCATATCATGTCATTGGGAAATAAGATTATAATGTAATCATATTTTGAGAATATGGTTGAATTGATTTTCTAGAAATACATTGTTTTATAAAGATGTCATGTTAAAATTAAACATGTTAGAATCTTTATTTTGTATTATGAAAAGATGTTCTATTTAGTTGATTTAGTAACATGAAATTTTCATGAGAAGATGCATTTTTCGTTTTGTTCTAAATTGGCATCATGATTGGGTTATTAATTTGGATTATACTGTTACATATGAATATATTAAGTTGAAAATGATGTAACCTGGACTTTGGATTCAACTCCTGAGCGCTAGCTTGCTTTTGTATCCAGGTTTTCACTATAATATATACAAGCCAAGTAATTAGAATTTGATTTGCAAGAGATCCAATATGATTTGGCAAGCCATCAATTATATGTTAAATTGCATAAGGCTTTGAATCATTTGTACATCACATGATTCAGTGTGATTCTCAATGAATCTGTCACCAATATTAAGTGTTGTTTTGTTTAGTGCTGTTTCGTTAGTGTTGTTATGTTTAGTGCTGCTTCGTTAGTGTTGTTTTGTTTCATACATAGTATATAGTGTTTCACTAAACACTGTTTTGTTTCATACATAATGAACACTGTTTTGTTTCATAATGAACAGTGTTTTGTTTCATAATGAACAGTGTTTTGTTTCATGTTGTTTCAAAATCTTGTTTGTTCATTAATATTTAGTGTTTCATAATGAACACTGTTTTGTTTCATAATGAACAGTGTCTTGATTCATATTGTTTCAAAATTTGGTTTGTTCATTACCATTCATTGTTTCATAATAAACATTGTTTTGTTTCAAAACACTGTTTTATTTCACTGCTTCTGTTTTAATGCTTATCCATCAGTGTTTTATTTCACTGTTTAGCGTTAAACTTTGTTTCACTAACCAAGATTGTTACCACTAGGCCATAATACTCGAGTGTTAAATAATTCTCCAAAACGTATATTTATGGTTAGAAATATTTTGAATTAAATGTTTTGGATATCTTTTCGACATAAACCTATTTAACATTTTAAGTGATTCAATTAAAGTAAGAAGCTACCAAAGTAACTTCTCTTATGTAGATTGTTCGTAATAAATGTTGAATGTTAGTGTGTATATGTATTCATGTGAGTATTAATCGACCCAAAGGAAGATTAATATTTGGCCGAATTATATGCACACATGTGATGATAAACATGTGATAATTACAATGTTTCATATGTCAATGATATATCAGTCCAAAGAAGGGTTTATTGTTTGACATGCATTATTATCAATATTTGATCATTACAACAAACTAATATTTATTGGCAATTGCAATAGAATATCAAGCCAATTTTGTATGTTTGCATTTTTATACGAATAGTAATTGGCCCAAAGGAAAATTGCTATTGGACCCAAATTACAAACATACTTCTGTAATAAATATGTGATAATTATATGGTTTTCTATTTGAATAGTAAGTCGGTCCAAAGAAAGGTTTATTGTTTGACATGAATGATTATCAATATTTAATTACTACATCGAGTGTACCACTGGCAAGTTAATAACTTGTGGTGTGCTCCACCACTATTTGAATCTAAGGATTAAAGTTGATTGTAAGTTTAATTGTAATAATGATTACAATTTGTTTTGTTCTTTGTTCCATTGATTTATCTGCTTCCTAAATTGCATGAACTTTAAGAATTAAGGAGAGAACATTATGTTAATTCTCGAATGCATACAGATCTAGGCCTTGTGCTTTAGAATTGAACAAATCATTAATTTTAAGGAAGTTCCATTTAGGATAAAGGGACTATGAGGAATGAGGATGTTCAAATAGC